AGTGCTAACAATGGAAATGTTTTGAAGTTTGTAGACTATTTAGCCCTTTTTGATCCTATCACGAATGAACATTAGCACAGAGTTAAAATGAAGAAACAATGGTTCACTACTTAGGAAAAGATATCCAAAATGAACTTATACAAATGGGATTACTAATTGAGGATCTGTGTAGTCAAGGTTATGATAATGGGAGTAATGTGAAAGGCAAAGAAAATGGTGTACAAAAGAGAGTCCTAGACATAAATCCATGTGCCTTTTTTGTGCCCGGCAATGCACACTCTTTAAACTTGGTAGTCAATGATGCCACTAAATGTTGTCTGGAAGCAACAAGTTTCTTCATTTTGATTCAACAGATCTATATTTATTTCTCTTCATCTATTCGGTGTTGGCAAATTCTAACTAACCATGTATGAGGCATAGCTAGTTAAGCCACTAAGTCAAATGAGATGGGAGAGTTGAATCGATGCTTTAAAACCCCTGAGATATCATCTTGTTAGTATATACTATGATGTTTTAATAGATATCTTTGATGACACAAGCCTAAAGAACTTATCTGGAAATACTTCTCGAACTGAAGCTAAGGCCCTTGCTGATGCAATTTGTAAGTTAAAATATGTAGTGTCCCTTCTTTCATTAATTTGAAATTAATCTTACAAGCAAGCTGTTACAAAATAAGGAACATTATTTAAATTCAGCTACAAGCCAATTGCAAGTGACTAAGAATTACCTTGTGGGCTGTAAGTGTGATGCGGGTTTTTAACAAGTTTTGATGGATACTACTGAGATTACAAAGGAGCTAGAAATACTACCAAGCTTTGAGACAGAACAAGTTAGTAAAAGGAGAACAAAAAAGCAGTTTGAGTATGAAGCACAAGAGGGGGCACCACAAGATCCAAAGCATAAATTCAAAATAAGTTTCTATTATGCTGTCTTAGACATGGCCATACAATCTGTTGAACAGAGATTCCAACAGTTTGTTGTTGTTGTTTAGTTGTTAAGTCATGTCCGACTCTTTGTGACCCCATGGACCAGAGCACACCAGGTCCTCCTGTCTTCCACTGCCTCCCAGAGTTGGGTCAAATTCATGTTGATAGCTTTGGTAACACTGTCCAACCATCTCATCCTCTGTCGTCCCCTTCTCCTCTTGCCTTCACACTTTCCCAACATCAAGGTCTTTTCTAAGGAGTCTTCTTTTCTCATGAGATGGCCAAAATATTGGAGCCTCAATTTCAGGATCTATCCTTCCAGTGAGCACTCAGGGTTGATTTCTTTCAAAATGGATAGGTTTGTTCTCTTTGCAGTCCAGGGGACTCTCAAGAGTCTCCTCCAGCACCACAATTCAAAAGCATAAATTCTTTGGCGGTCAGCCTTCTTTATGGTCCAGCTCTCACTGCCATACATTGAAACTGGAAAAACCATACCTTTGACTGTGCGGACCTTTGTCAGCAAGGTGATGCCTTTGCTCTGCTTTGTAGCTGCTCTTCCAACAGCTACAACAATATAATTCCTTGTTTGGCTGTTACCTTCCCACCAAGGTGGTCCCTATTGATCTACTTGCATTTGCATGCTTTCGAACCGCTAGGTTGGTGGGAGCTGGGACAAGCGACGGCAGCTCACTCCGTCGCGTGGATTCGATCTTACAACTGCTTGGTCCTTCTGACCCTGCAGCACAGGCTTCTGCGGTTTAGCCCGCAGCGCCACCACATGTAGGCAATCACTTTTATTCCAAACTGCTGTATACATTCAATCAACATCTCTCTTATAGTCTTTATAATTTCATTCCTGCTTGTTCAATATTGTTCAGCCTTCTCAATTCCTTCTCCTAACACTCTCAGCTCAATTCACTAACCCTCTCCTCCTCTCTCCTAACCCACACTGCCATTTCACATCTCCAACTGTCTCTCTGACTCCGCCCCTCCTGCCCTATCCTTGGCTCCTCCCCCTTGAACTTCTGTGATGGACAGGCAGGAATGATGTCACCTGTTGGCATTTCACTACAACAGTATTGAAGGTGGCTGAGATATCGAGGAGGACCAACAAAAACATTTTCCCTCCTTCACCTGTTGGCATTTCACTACAACAGTATTGAAGGTGGCTGAGATATCGAGGAGGACCAACAAAAACATTTTGCCTCCATCGGCCTCCCTCAGCAGATCATCAAACAGGGCAACCAATGCAGTTTCTGTACTGTGGCACGGCCTGAAGCCTGACTGGAATGGATCCAGGGCATAGTTTCATGGCTTGGAGGGGAGGGAGGCTGTAAAAGTCAGAAGCCTTTGCCAGGGCCCGGCTAGACCAGAGTTCCTGCCGTCGGGGGAGTCGCCTGTGACATCTGCCGTCCCTCAGGCACTGGGTGAGAGACAGTGTCTGGGGAAATTTTTGGCCTGGACTCCCTTGGCCTGCAGGACTGGGCCCTTGCTGCTGCTTCGGGACACCCCACCCCTTCTTCAACACCAGCCACCTGGCTTGGAGGGGAGAAGTGGCATTAGAAGGGTGTGTGGGTTTGTTTTTATTTTTCATTTGTTTTTAATTTGTGAATTTCGTTGTATGGGTATACTGTGTATATACTTACAATGACAATAAATTATAATAATTATTATTAACTGTTATTATTATTAATTGCTATCGGATTGCATAGAGACCCACAGTAGACCTGATGGAACAGGAAGGGGGGAGGGCATTGGAGGGGGCAGCCATTGACGTGGTGCTGGGTAGGGGAAGGAATGGCGGTGGGGGTAGAACATGCCCGCGTAGGAGAAGAGAGGTTAGATACCTTACATCTATCCCCTCTTCTAGTCCTA